GCTTTCCTCTGCTAATGAATCCCAGGCAGCCTCCACATCACAGACAGCTGCACTGGGACAAGGGCCTTGGCACGAACCCACACACGGACTCTGGGCTGAGCCTTGGGTTTGTGACACTCGGGGCCCCAGAGAAGAAGCGGGACAGGGGAGGTTCTGGTGAAAGCAGTGGGGGATTCACTTCCCCCCACAACATGAAATCTTCTGAATCCCACCCACCCCACCAACCCACTCCATTCAGCCGGAGACCAGGATTACACACATCCGGTGTTCCAGGTCAACCGGACCAGGAGACACCAGGGACAACCCCAGCCTCTCTCTTGTACAACAACCAAATGGTACATCCCTGGAGCATGGCCTCCTGGGCCTCAAAAATATCAGTCACGCCAAAGATTGAGAAGGGTGGATTGACCATTTGTTTGTATTCTCATCCTTTTCTTCATTTCCTTTTGACCCTTAGCATCTCTCCAGCATCTTGCAGGGCAGAGGGGCACTGGGAGTGCTCCCGTGGCACCAAGCAATCCTTTTGAAACAACAAGGAAAGCGTTGCCCATTATATAGAAGGGGCATGATTCCCGAGAACATGTCTGGTCCCCAAAAACCCTGATCATGGGATGTTTGTCTGATCCAGAAAGCTGTCTTAAATATTAAAGAATACCATCATTTGAATACTGGAAGAGATTAAAAGACTTAGCCATAATTATCGCTGGAGAAAAACTGTCCGGTTGGTAAGGAACTTGGGGACTAGGCAATTTGGGCTGAGAAAGTTATTGACGCAGCGGACAAACAAAGGAAGTGGGTGTTGTGTGCATGCTCTTACTCTGGGGGGTTCGGGGGCTGTCGTGCATTTGTACTTGAACAGCAGGAAAACCAGAAAGAAACATCTCCCACACCCAGTGAAGGACGCAAGTTTGGCACCACCAAAGGTCGCTGCTATAATGCCTAATGGAGCCACTTGTCAGGTCGTATTACAGGGATGAAACGTGCAATAATTACTATTAAGGTTTACTTGATATTATACCAGCAAGGGGCCATGTCAAACACTGGGGGTCTTTGACAAAAACAATCCTGTTGGTAACAGTTTCCACGGTTTGACTTTCAGGGGGTGGAACAACACCCATCTGCACACGTGACAGCATAAGCTATTTGAGGTCAGCACCCTGAAATGGCAGCACAGGGCAGGTCTGCAGTTTCCAGGCTCCCTTTCACCCTGGGCATGGAGCATTTGTGGGAGGGGAGTCGGGTGGAGGGGGCAGCCACAACTCACCTGGCAGCACATCCTCCGACTTCCGCATTTCCCCACGGTCCTCATCATCACGGACCCAGAGCTCCACCTGTCCTCGCTGGATGCGGCAGATCAAGTCAGGAGCAGGGCCTCGATATCCTGCTTGGGCAGTGGTTAAAGAGAGTTTAACCATTGGTACTGGATGCAGAATAAGCAACTGAAATTTGGGGAATGGAGATAATGAACTCAAGGATTATACTAAGGACTTGAAGGACAAGGGAAGACAGACATTTAGGATGAAAGGTAAGGCATAGCAGGGGGAAGAGGATGGTCCTTTTCAATCAGGTAGTGGACATATGGCCATAGGAAGCAAACACCAGTGCAATTCCAGGCAAATGAGTGGAAATGAGTTTGGACAGGACACTTGCAAGACAGGGAGGAAATCAGAATAACTGCACAAGCAACAGCTGTTAATGCACTTTGAGGCACAATGAATGGCAAATGATATGATCATGGTGAGAAGGCAAAGGGAAATCCTGTTATCAAGGGGGAAGACTCCAGGGAAGGCGGCTGGATCAAATGGAGGAGGAATATATGCGAGTATGAGATAGCAGAAGTCTACTCATGGACAGAGCAGAGGGGAGCAAAGGGATTTAAGCCACCAGCCAAACGTTCATGAGGATGACACTGTTAGAAGCAGGGAGAAGACAACACCACTTCAGAGCTCACATGGCTCCAGGGCAAGGCACGAACCAGAGCTTTACCCAGGGAAACGAGGGCTTGGTAGTTCCTCAGCATCTGGTCCTGGTAAAGCCCCTTGTCTTCCTCTTCCAGCAGCTCCCACTCCTCCCGTGTGAAATACACTGCCACGTCCTCAAACACCTCCCGGAGCTGCAGGCACAAGCGTTACAGCATCAGTGTCTCCTGCCCCGCTGCCCCCAGCCCCCACGGCCCTGTCTGCACTCACTCTGCACTACAGCGCTTTGCACGCTTAGCCAGGACAGACCGGGATACGCTACTCAGCTGACACGTGATATGCAGGGATTCTGGTTTTCTCTGTTTAAAAATTGCAAATTCTCTCATAAAAGAAAAAAATCACTCCCAACCCATAGCCTCCCTACCCCTGCTTGTGCCCCACAATCCCTCCCACTGCCCCGTGGCATCTGGTCCAGGAAGAGACAAAGCCTTGTGCCAGGACACTTTCACCTCCCTGGACTTCCCAGTGCTGACCTCAGAGCAGCTGTCCTTAGACCAAACACTTCAGCACAAACCTGAACATGTAGTTGTGCAACCAGAAATCATCTGCAGGCTGGGTTGTGTTACGCACGGTCCACACAGGGACTGTGCAGTCTTCTCCGATTAACCGGATTCCCCGTTGTGGGGGGGGGGTATTTACTTACATCCCCTCTCGCAGCACTGTCCCCCGTCCCACCACGGTGCCCCTCTGCACTTGGTATTCAAAAGACTCTCTCTATTTAATAGTCTGGTCTGTGCACACCCTTCAATTCAAACTGATCAAATGACTGTGGAATCGAAAAAACCTGTGCTGTGCCTCTGATTCAGCTCATTTGTAAGCTGCAAATCCATCCCGGCTTCTGCCTCCCCTCACACTAACACAGATAATCAGCAGCCAGGTGTGCTGCTCACTCCTGCCAAACTGATGGGCTGGGGGGACCCTGCTGGCATCGACTGCAGAGACCCTCTGTGCTCCCCAGTCCTAGGCAGGCGGGAGAGGACTTGCTGGGATCAGCTGGGGAGGCCCCTGCCGGGGGGCCCCTGGGGG